CACCCACAATAATAAGGTCAAATAGTTTTCAATAAGAGCACCAAAACAACTTAATAGGGGAAAGTAAAGTATTCTCAACAAATGGTGCTGGAACAATTGTTTAATAAATGCATATGGGAAAAAAAGAACCTTGACTCTTACCTCACACCAAATACAAAAATTAATTTGATAATTATGACATAAAAGCTAAAACAATAAAGCTACTAGAAGAAAGCAAAGGATAGCATCTTTGTCAACTTGAGATAAGCAAATATTTTTTGAGAGGACATGGAAAGCATGAACTATAAAAGAAAAAATGATAAACTGGACTTCATCAAAATTAAAACCTCTGCTCATCAAAAGTCACAGGAAAGCGAACACGTTAACTCCAGACAGAAGATTTTTGCAATATATATACATCTGAGGAAGGACTTGTACACAAAATGTATAAAGATCTTTTATAAGTCAGTAACAAGAAGACAGCCCAATTTAAAAATGGTCAAAAATTTCATCAGATACTAATAAGCGCATGCTCAACATTAGTCATCAGAGAAACACAAATTAACATCACAAGATGCCAATATACGTACACTAGGACAGTTGGCATGAAAACAACCAATGACACTAAATATTTGAGAGCATGTGGTACAGCCAGAAGTCTCACACATTGCTGGTCAGATTGCAAAAGGATATGACTACTTTGGACAAAGGTTTAGCAGTTTCTTAAAAAGTTAAACGTATCTTATAACCTAGTAATTCCACTCCTGGGTTATTGAAGGGATATGAAAATATTTGTCCACACAAGCCTTGGACACTATATACTTAAAATCTGTATGTTTTCCTGAATGTAAATTATGTCCAAAAGTTTAAAATTTGAGATCAAAGAAAACCCTCATTTGCCAAAGATCAGATGTGGACCCAGAGTAGAATGTGAAGAACAAAGACCATGCGACATTCACTACATGATGGCATTCTGGGGACAGGATGGGGTGAGGAACCTGGGGACAGGATGTCAGTGCCATCACCTAGTTTAAAGGTAGCATTTGTAACAAATGGTGTCTAACAATCTTCAATAAAATAAGAATATAACAGCTGGGAAGAAAAAAAGGCCAACCTGGGTTGGGGGGAGAACAGCCAAAAAGGAAAGAAGAAAAGAGTATCTCCCTTAACCAAGATGAGCCTTCCACAGTGGCAGAAGGTCTGGCCTGTACTCACACGTCTGGTAACAATAGGGTCCAGGTCTTTAGGGTCCCGGCGGCTCAGGGTCATGAGATCCGCATTGAGTGTCCTAATGCGTTGTAAGCGAAGGCGGATGTATCGTGCAGAAGTGAATTCCAGCAACTTGGGGGAAAGGTCATCAGCGCTTGGTCTGCCATTGATCAATGATGTATGAATCTGAGGATGAAGACATCGAAATAAACACATGTCACTATTAAGCATGCAAAAAATACGGCCCTAGCTGTCTAACTAACGTTAGGACATAATCTTTACGAAGACATTATCTAAAAATCAAAACAAAGCAACTAGTTTCTTGTAAAAATCTGTCTAATGTTTAATTACTAATGATTACCATGATCTCAATATATCTTCAGTTTACTGAAGTTATCCATGTCAATGTCTCAAAGATTGCCAGAATTTGTTTAATCGTGTTTCCCAGTGTGGTGAGGATATTTTAACACCTATCATTAGGCTACTGACTTCTCTGAAGCAAATTCTAAACACCATGAACGGGCTAGGGGAATAAGGAAAAGGTGCCAAAAAGCCTTAATGATATCTGCTGTCTAATCTCTGCTCTTGAAACAACACAGGGCTTCGCAGAGACCCTGCTGAGACGAGCACTTGGGAGCGTCTGTGGTTTTATCTCATCAAGCCGGTGCTACTGGGGAAGGGACTGTTTCCGTTACGCCCTGACTGCAGTGCAGCGTGTGCACCCGGGCGTGTTTGGCACTGAGCCGTGATGCTTCCAGAACCATCTCCCAGTGCCCCACGCCCACCAAGAGAAGGAGAACTTCACGGAGAAAGGTGGGAACTACACCTTTTAGAGGCATGTTAGCTCCCTGTGTAATACTTCAAGAAATGCTCTTGCCCTGGTGTTACGGGACAGAGGCTGTGACGGAGGAACTGACGGGGTTACTAAGTCACAGCAGAGTGACCACTGAGGAACCTCCTTGCGGATATCGGAGAGGTAAACTGTATTGGTTATGAAGTTAATCATAACAGACACCATTCAAGGCTGCTTTAAATAGAGCTGTACAGTTATATTAAGGATCTTTGTCTTGAGAGAGTTCGATTTTGAGTGTTTGATGGTGGCTCTTACAACGGCTATGGTAACATCTGGGGCGGGGCCCCGATGGACACACAGCTCTGGCTGCGGTGGGCACAGTACCTCGCCATGCTCAAGCGGCACCAGTCTGGAATAATACGAGGTGCAGATCACTTCATCATCGGCCCTGTAAGTGGGTGGCCCCCGTCTTGGAGTTATGTTGTAACGGGTCAAACACTCCGTGTCGCTGACTGCGTAATACTGCCAGGGGCTGAAGGCGGTGCCATCCAGAGAACGCTCCAAAATCCAGTTTCCAGGTCGAGGGGAGTTGGCAGCTTTAATGATGACATATGCAACTTGAAAGACCTGAAACGAAGACACTGAAAAATCTCAACCCAGAATCAGTATAAGACAAATACTGCATGATCTCTTATGTGTGGAATCTAAAACAGTCGAACTGATAGAATCAGAGAGCAGAATGGTGGTTCTCAGGGGGTTGGGGCTGGAGGAAATGAGATGTTGGTCAAAGTGTACAAAGTTTCAGTTATGCAAGATGAGTAAGTTTTGGAGATCTAACGAATAGCATGGTGACCACAGGTAACAATTCTGTACTGTATGCTGGAAATTCACTGTGGGTATAGCTCAAGTGTTGTCACCATACACAGACAAAAAAGGTAATTTTGTGAAATGATGAATATGTTAATTATTTTGATTGTGGTGATTATTTCACAGTGACTACATACATCAAATCAAGTTGTACACCTTAAATATATATAATTTAAAAACTTAAAAATAGAATCATAGCAACTGCTCAAAAACCAAAGTACATCTTGAGAGAACCGTTATACGATGATTACCAAAGTCTCACAGCTTTTGAGTATAATTGCTTATACACATTAATCAGAACTATGTCTTGTGAATGTTCTCTTGGTTGCATTTGTTTTCAAACTAAACTCGAAAAATACTCACAAATAAATCTGTAGTATAATTATTGTTATTGTTATCAATATTAGTATTAATGTAAGAGCTTGTTCTCTTGTTTCCAATGTCTGTCCTTATCTGGATTCTGAATGATAATAGTGTTATGTTACGTTAATAGTAGTATTAAATGTATTTCTCATGGAGATTTGGAGATATTAATAATACATCCGAATATGAGAAAAAAGTCAGCCCACCCACAGCATGTCTATTCAAATGGCTAAAATCCAAAACACGGACAACACCAAATGCTGGTGAGGATGTAGAGCAACAGGAACTCTTACTCATAGTGGGTACAAATGCAAAATCATACTGCCACTTTGGAAGACAGTTTGGCAGTTTCTTAATTAAACATATTCACCAAATGATCCAGCAATTGCGCTCCTTGGTGTTTACCCAAATGAATTAAAAACATGTCCACACAAAAACCTGCTCTGTAATTGCCAAAACTTGGAAGCAACCAACAAGTCCTTCAGTAGGTAAATAGGCATACTATAGTGCATCCAGACAATGGAATATTAAGTGATAAAAAGAAATGAATTCTTAAGCCACAAAAAGACGTGGAGGAAACTTAAATGAGGCCAGGCGTGGTAGCTCATGCCTGCAATCCTAGCACTCTGGGAGGCCGAGGTGGGAGGATCGCTTGAGCTCAGGAGTTTGAGACCAGCCTAGGCAAGAGTGAGACACCGTCTCTACTAAAAATAGAAAAAATTAGCCGGGTGTGGTGGCATGAACTTGTAGTCCCAGCTACTCAGGAGGCTGAGGCAGGAGGATCGCTTGAGCCCAGGAGTTTGAGGTTGCTGTGAGCTAGGCTGACGCCACAGCACTCTAGCCTGGGCAACAGAGTAAGACTCTGTCCCAAAAAGAAAAAAGAAAAAGAAAACGAAAAAGAAACTTAAATAAATATTACTAAGTGAAAGAAGCTAATCTGAAAAGACTACTTACTGTATGATTCCAACTGTGACATTCCGAAAAAGTAAAACTATGGAGACAATAAAAAGATCAGTGGCTGCCAGGGGTTTAGGTGGAAGGACGGATGAACAGGTGGAGCACAGAGGGTTTTCAGGGCAGGGAAACTATCCCGTAGGAGACTGTAATGGTGGATAGAAGTCCTTATACATTTGTCAAAATGCACAGAATGTATAATACCAAGGAGTGAACCCTAATTTCAACATGGACTTAGTTAATTATAATGTGTCATATTGGCTCATCAATTGTAACAAACGTATCACTGTGATGCAGGATATCAATAGGAGAAACTAGAGGGGAGGGAGAGAGTAAGGAGTTAGATGAGAACTCTCCACTTCCTCGCATTTTTCTGTAAACCTAAAACTGTTCCAAAAAGTATCTATTAATTTAAAAATTTAAAATTCAGAGTAGGGAGGAAGCAAACTGGGGAAAAAGCAATGTAGACACAATTATCAGGGTGAAGAAACTAGTCAGAGAAATTCTGGATCTGGAAAGGACCCTTGTAAATAAATATTTAGCCCAAAATCCAACACTAAGAAGAAATAATCTAACAACCCCGCCCTTCTTGAAGTACTTCCAGGGACAGGAAATTCATTAGCTCCTAAGACAGGCCTTTTGTTTAACGACAACTCTCTCTCCAGAGGATCTGCTTTTACACCGATTCAAGGTCCCCTGTAAATTCTACACTCTGACGCTACAGAATAGAGCTTGGATTCCACTTTCAAGTAACTATCCTTCAAATATTTGAACATAAGTATCACATATCACCTCCAGAATCCAAAATCTTCTCATTTCTAGCTTCAATATTCTGGTTTCCTGAAAACATTCATTTAACAGGAGGCCATTCATTGCCTTGTCATGACGTTCTGGACACAACCTTATTTTAAAATGTGGTTTCCAGGAACTGAATACAAACCTCCAAATGTTTTCTGGACTGCAAAGAACATAGCGAACATATCAAGTCCCTTGTCTTAGTAATTCAGCCTTAGCAAGAATTCACTTTTCTGAGAGTAAACTTAGATTACTAACTCATGTTGGGGTTGCAAACAACAAAAATGCCTTTTTCCATGTGAACTGCTATTTACTCCAGATTTCTTCTAACTCAGATTGATACAGATGATTTTTTTAAACCCGAAGTCCAATACTTTTTATTTTAAAAACATATACGCAATATATTTGTGTAAATGTATATATAAATATGTGTGTGCGTGGTTGACCTTCAAACAACATGGGTTTAACTACACTGCTCCGCTTACGAGAGGCGGACTTCATTCTGCCTCTGCCACCCCTGAGACGGCAAAACCAACCCTCCTCTTGCTCCTCCTCAGCCTACCCAATGTGAAGACAGTGAGGATGAAGTCCTTTATGACGATCCACGTCCACTTAATGAACAGCAAATATGTTTTCTTTTCCTTATGATTTAGTGACATTTTCTTTTCTCTACCTTACTTTATTGTAAGGATACAGTATATAATACATATAACATACAAAATATGTGTTAATCGACTGTTATCAGTAAGGCTTCTGGTCAACAATAGGCTGTTAGTTAAGTTTTGGGGGAATCAAAAGTTATTCGAGGATTTCTGACTGCCTGGGGGGTGGGTGCCCCTAATCCTCGAGTTGTTCAAGGGTCAACATACACACACACACACACACACACACACACACACGTACACATACTTGTATGTGTTGGGAAAGAAGTTGTTCACTTGCTCTGTGTCTTATTGCCTCTGAATTTTCTTGGTTTTTGTTTATTTGCTTTTTTTGCTTCTCCCCATCTTAGCCCACACCAATTCCAGCAACACAAAAGCTCCTTAAAATTAACCCACCACAAACCAAATAAGTTTACATCTACCTGCTGATTCTAGGGAACCGGTAGGGAAGGACAATCTATCTCATTACAGTAACTCTGTCCATCTACCAGGAACGTTCTCCACCTGAGTTTAGTCTGCAAGTGATGTGTGTGTGTGCAATGTTTCGGTTATCCACGTGCGTGTGCCATTTTCCTCTAGAAGGTGACCACTGCTTCTAAAGCACATTAGAAGCAATTTTGATAATGGGATAAGGGAGAACATCCTCATATGTACTCATCACTGCCCAGTTGTTTTGTAAATACTGTCGTCATAAAAGTAGAACTCCGTCATAAAAGTAGAACTCCGTGTGGGTTGTGCTCATTCACCACCATTGCACTTATTAATCTGGCCTTTACAAACCAGAGGTGCCAAGTGAGCCAGGGTAATCAGGCAGCCCATCAGGGAAGGAACGAAGGCAAGGTGCTTTACAAAGACATCTGAAACGCACGTATTTACCTCCCGTTTTCCAGTTTCACATTTGAACATGGAAAGAACTAACACGTTTACCACATTCATGTTAAGAGCTTTATACATATTATCTCATATAATCCCAACCAACCCCATTATTGTTTTTGTGCCCATTTTACATATTTGTAAACTGATATAAAGAGACGTCAAGAAACAAACCACTGAGTTGCGGGTCCCAATAAGAAACCAGGTAGTCTCACTCCACAGTCTTTATATATACTGCCTGTCCCCAAACCTCCACACACATCCAAGCTTGCTGGACTTTCTTTTTGTAATATCAAAAAACAAAAAAAATTCTACATTCACTTAGAAACCAGGTTCATGCCTATAAAAGCACAGCAGCAGTTTTTCGCGTTAATTATGCAGTTTCTGTCCCAACAGCCCAGGATGAGTAGGGGGAGGGGATGGCCAGTGGACAGGAAACAAAAATCAACGATTGCTAATGCTTACAGAGAGGGCACTAACCGTGGCCAGCGACAAAGCCAGGTGCTTTATTAGAATTATCACCTCTGAATCCTCACAGTAACACTCTTCTTACTAAGTAAGGACTGTTGTTTCCCCCACGTTACAGATGAGGAAACTGCCGCACAGGGAGGTTAAGTAATCTTCCCAGGATCTCACAGGAACTAAACTAGGCACTGCAGGACTCGTGCCCAGGCAGTCTGTGCTCTTACGAGGTACGCAACACAACTTACACAGATAGCGAGGACAAGAGAGAAAGAAATCCCAGGCTGAGGCGACTGCTGAGAATTAACTCAGTTTTTCCAACTTCTTACTTCAACCAGTAGCATTTATTTCAACACTGTGCTCTAGCGCTTTATTAAACCCTTGTCAGCTTTTATACTGACAGCTTAGTCATATGCAAGAAAATGACAGCAAATGGAAGAACAGTCATAGTGGAAAAACTTCAGGCCAAGCCCTCAAGGAAGGAACTGGATAACTCTTTTTTTTTTCTTGGAGACAGAGTCTCACTCTGTTGCCCAGGCTAGAGTGCCACTGAATCACCATAGCTCACAGCAACCTCAAACCCCTGGGCTCAAGCGAGCCTCCTGCCTCAGCCTCCTGAGTAGCTGGGACTACAGGTGCCCACCACCACTC